GTGTGTAAATCAACCTCATGTAGAGTACAAACAATAGTGCAAGGATATAAAAGCGCTCACCTCTTCTTCTTCCAACCTATTATCGACCTCCTTCAAGTCCTCTTGGATCAACTTTTCAAATTCTTTGTACTCATCTCTACCCAACAGTTAACACAAATTCAAGGTCACAATGTGTTCATGTTAAACCTACTTCAATAGGGGGAAAATAAAATAAAATAAAGTGACATTGAAAGATGACAACTGCACCTGTCAATTTAAAAGACACTAAGAGACCCAGCATATTCAAGACAATATTGCAAAAACTAGAAATTTCAAATAACAAACTTGCCAAGTTACACTATGAAGATTCAAATTATGAACTCTTTAAGCCTTTTCAGAATCCTTTTAACATGAACAAGTATATTTACCGGAATTTGGAACTTCTATGTATATCTAGAATGGAATTTAGAACCAAGAACCTTTGGGAGTAAATACATACTAGACTAGAAAAATCAAAACAAATAAGAGAACTTTTAAGACAATAACACCATTATAATCTAGGAGTTATTAATAAGAACAGTGTATTACTTGACATCTGGCTTAACAAGCTTTATTCCCCGTGCAGATAAATCAGCTTCCTTGTTATCAAAGAAGCCCTCGGGAAGAGCACCCTTTATTTGCTTAGCTTCTGAACTGGCAATCTGTGATGATGTCTGTGTAAGGTCCCTGGCAGGCTCAGTTTTTCTTGTCTCAATCTTTTTGTATGAATCAGTCTCCACCACTGTGATAGAGTCTGTTCCTAAGACGAAATGGTTAAGTTAGAAAGACTAATCGATATCACTAAAACATAAAAAAAATAAAAAGATTGACAGTTCAAAAACTAAATCCAAAAATTTGTCTTCCAGGCAGAGTTCTAATCCTCTACTTAGATTTTCTGTTCTGGTATTGTGCATACGACCAAACCTACATCATTTTAATATAAACCACAAAAAATTAAGCTCTAGAATGACATCATATTGTGCCAATATCAGCACAATATAAATAAATGATCCAATTTCATCTAGCCAGCTGCATATAACACAAAAGATTTGGTTTTCCAAAAGGTAAAATTAATGACTATCTACAACAACAACAAAAACAGGGGGAAATTACCCAAGCAAGAAAAGGCATATATCAAAACCATAACAAACCATAACTTTAAGAATTGATTCATAAAACCCAAAAACTGTATAATGAAACAAGAAAACTGAACAGTTTGTTTGTGGCCTAATGGCATTAAAGAAAAGGCATGATATTAACTAAATGTCATAAAATAAAGGACTACTGAAAAGGGATTGTTGTGGGTTTTTTTTTTTTGTTGAAGTGAAAATTTTAGTGAAGTTTCTTTCTTGTTTCCTTCACTTGATTCACTTGATTATGAGCAAAGAAAGAGGCTTAATAAGGGGGACGCCAATTTATTTTCTGTTTTTCCACTAATAAAATTTGGTTTGCTATTTCAAAATTCCATTAACAATTCAAACCCCATTGCCAATATCTTCTCCAGTCTCAACCATCATTGGTTATTAGCTTGTTTACATCTCAATGACCCTGGGGTTAATTAGATTATAGTGCTAACATTTTCAATTTCATATACTTATAATGATGCAATGAAAGCAGGAAAAACTATTGATGATGGTAATTGTACTTTTTTAGCATTTTATTTATCAAATAAATCAATTGTACTAACAGAAAACGAGGAGCAAGAACAAACACGAATCAGAATTTCCATATCTAGTTGTTGATTTTTCAATAAGCAAGAGAAAATTTGCAGTTTTAATTGGAACTTTCCAAGAAAAAAAATCAAAATCAAAATTTTTCAGTTGAGAAAAAAAGTTTAAAAATCTCAGGCCTATCAGCACTTTAGTCATATCAGGTTAGGGGTTAAACTAATAGAACAAACTATTGGGCTAAATTGCATGAGAAATACGCTTTTTGAGTTCTATGGATTAAGAATTGATCTGGTGGGTGTGTTTTGGTGGAGAATTCTAATGTAGGGCTTATAAATATTCGTCCTCCCAAAAAAAGACATAATAATAAAACCCAACAAGAAGAAGATCAAGGGGTTCAAGCCTAATCTCAACACAGGGTTTTTATCCAACCACAGGGAATGAAACAAACAACTTAAAAGACATAGAGCAGGTATGCTAAAAGGCCAGAAAATATTCTACTGATAATTAAAAGTTCTTTAAAAATAATCTTAAGCAAATCAAACAACAAGCAGAATCACATTTTTTAAAAGCAAAAGGGTGGTGATAATAGTAATATAAACGAAATAGATTCTCACCAGTATTTCGTTTTTGTGCCTCATGGTTGTCAAAAAAATCTGGAGGAAGCCCAGATGACATTTGAGGTCTAGGCAATTCTGTAGAGCGTTCAGTTCTTGGGATATGCAACTCCGGAGGATGTTCAGGCTTAGGTTTCGACAATTCTGGACGGACTTCAGTTTTTGCATTGTTGACTCGGTTTTGTCCAGCTGCTGTAGCTTTGAGATTATTTATTGCCTATTGTGATGGAAGCATCACATCAGTAATACTCAGTCAGATAACTAAATTAAAGATAAAGAAAAAGGAAACACATCTATATTTATGGCATCCCAGGTTCAAATCTAGAGAGTCTAACTGAAGGAAATGCTTCCTCTTTCTGCCAAATATAGATTAAATGTATGGGTTATCCAAGCCAAATTAGTATACTAGAAATAAGACGTAACCGAACAAGATCATTTTGACATTGCCTACATTTAGAGGGATGGGATGGGACCCAGACTGCTGAGCAACAAGATAGAGGGAACCATTCGAGATGGTAACAAAACCACCTTTCAAGAGCTAAAATGGTGTTATTGAATTCAACAGTATTGTAATGTTCAAATATCACAATACATGATTTGATTGACAACAAATGTGTTATTTCTATAACTCTCAAGAAGCAGGAAAAATTGATGCATTCTCCTATTCATATTAGTTAAAAAAAATTAGATCTTTCATATCAACTTTGGATTTTCCATATTACAAGATGTTTGTAGGTCTCTTAGTTGCTTAATGCTATGATTAGGAAAGTACTATATGAATCGTTATCACCTCATGATGTTTACGAGATGCTTGATGTGCTTCCCACTGAAATTCAGATTTCAGAGCAATGTCACAAACCCTGCATACGGGCTGGTCAGATTCATTATACCTGTATGTATCGCACAAAAGGGATGAAGCAGTCAGAAACTCTGTCTTAGCAATTTAAATATACAAATCAGCTTCATCAGTAGAAAACAAGATATCGGAAGTAGTAACAAGTGAAAAAAAAAAAAAAAAAGGTAAAGGAAAGATAGTATACAATACATAACAAATTCCTAGATACAATCAGGAAAGATAAAAGTAAGATCGTTTGACATTTCATAATCCGTATCTTCTTAGCTGATTCCCATTTCTATCTAAAACGAGTTCTCGTGAGGTTCATTTCAAATTATGGTTAAGGAAATAGATACTACAAATTATATTTTACTAGCTAGAACAGAATAATGCATTTGTAAACAGTTAAAAGGGAGTGCTAAACCAAATTCATACTTTGTGCTTGATTAGCTAAAAGTTTTAACAAGATCAAAATTTGAGAGCACGATTTTCTAACATAGAACCAATTAAACATTCAAGACTCTGACAGAACCAACAGTAATAAACACTGCTTAACTTTTCTTTTAACTAGAAAACTACTACTTAAAAATGAAATTAAGTATTTTAAACAAATGCACATTATGTGTCCCAAATTTAAATACCAACAATAATCAATTTTTGTTTCCAAAACATAAATTGAAAACAAAATTTACGAAAAGGGTTCTACAGAATGCAATTTACATGATAATATTACATTAAACTGAAAGTCCTAGTCTAAAAAAAAATTACTTGTGTTCTTATAAGTAAAAATATGTACCAAGTTACAAATAATAATATATGTGTGTGTGTGTGTGTGTAAAATAAAAATTGGAAAAGAGGTGGTGTGAGCACTGACCGTACAAGAGGAGAGTCTATGCGCTTTTCCTTCTTCTGGGCATTCAATTTAGCACGAAACAATGCCTTGTTCCTGGCTTTAGCATCCATCTCTAATATCTATGAATCAGAGACTGTTAGAGAGGGTTTGTGAATGGGTGACGGCTCAGAGAGGGAGTCGGTGGAGGCGACGGCGGATATGAGGTCGTGCACGGCTGAATGCTCAGAGAGGAGGTAGGCGAAGCGATTGACAGAGAGAGAGAGAGAGAAAGAAGAGAGAGAGAGAGAGAGAGAGAGAGAGAGGGGATGAGACGAACGGCGTGGAAACAAGTAATCAGATGTGGGAAGGCCTACTGTTTTTCCTGCAAACAGCCGCGGTCTATTCCCGCCACGTGACAGAAACAAATATTGATTTGTTTGGGCTGAATAGTTAATACGGAGCATTAGATGGTTTTTTCGGTAAAAATATCTTTTTGGTCACTGAATTTTACATAATATTTTAATTTGATCAAAAAATAAAAAAGCTAAATTGGTGTATAACCCAACGTTAAGTTTATAGACATACCATTATTTGGGTTAATATAGTAACCAATTTGAGTATAATTATTTATTAATGACCAAAGTGAAATATAGTGTAGAATCTAATGACAAAAAAGATTTTTAACCCTTCTTTTAATGTCACTCTCCAAGTTTACTCAACGAAAAACAACCACCATGTTTATAAATTGTAAAAGTTTGATTATACAATAACTAATTTGGTTTTTTTTTTTTTTTTCTCACGAGAAATTATTGTGAGCTGAATTCAGTGTGTATGTGTATAGTGCATGCACACTCATGCACATGTATGTATATACATACATGTATATGAGCTGAATTCAGTGTGTATGTGTATAATGCATGCACACTAATGCACATGTATGTATGTACACATTAATTTGAACATTTCTTTTCAGGAGCAAATGGCATGGAGGCAAATGTTATTAAACTCTAGAGCAAATTTTGTTACTCACTTTCTATCTCACTTTTTCTGTCACCCAAGACCAACTTGGTTAGCATTGTATGTATTGACAGATGCCTTCTTCAAAGGGAAAGAGACATTCAAAGACCTGGTCAAGGTTATCAAATTCTGACAACTTTTCTTTACCTGGGTTACTTGATTTTGAAGCTACTGACGAGGGTTTTCGAGCTCTCTTGAACAAGCTTCGATCAAATACCCATCTCTGATTGGGAACTCTGCTTTCATTGGCCGAGCCACCGATGTTCAAGACAACCACAAAGGCTGTAAAATCTGGCCTTCAGAGCCTTCCATGGTTGCCTCTTCCTTCACCTTTTTCATATTCTCATTTATAAGGCAGTCCAAATTTTGTTTTGTTTTTGTTTGTTGGGTTAACTGTGTCATGTTTCTGCACTCACTGGTTTGGCAGGCTTCGCTTCTTCGTTTGAAGAGTAGATTTTCTGATGGTTTTCCTCTCAGCTCATTAGCAGATGGATGTGCTCGACATTTTGGGGTTCATTCTTGCGGACAGTTAGCTAATGAACCAGGGAACTACTTTGCTCTTGCTACAATTTTTCCTTCTTGTAAGGTTTGAATGGCAACTGGGTTACTGTTTTTCCTTTCTACAATCTAGAACCTTTCTTGACATTCAAGGAAACAAAATCTTAGTAGATGCAAGGGGTTGTAACTCAAGTGTTTAAGAGCAATTAATCATGCACCCGAGGTACTAGGTTCGATTCCCCTCTCCCAATAGCCCCTGTATTTAACAATAATAAATAAATAAGGCGCTTAACAGATGCATTACTAAGCAATAAAGCTTAAAACATATGGCAGTGTGTCTAAACTCAAAGCAGTAAATACCTTTGTATAGCATTAGGTAACTAATCTCCCAAGGGATGTATGGTATTACGTCACAACAATCAGGATCCACATTTGTATCCTAAAGCATTTGCTTTACTTTTACAATTCATGCCTCTCTATCTCAGGTTACAAAGAAGGGAGTGCTATTAATATTATCTTCGAAGGTTTCAAATACAATGCATTGTTGTCCTGCTTCAGGCAAGGGGTCATATTCCTCCACTCTGTACAAAATCAATTCCTGGCAGGTCTTGTGTGTCATACAAGAAATATCAGATTAAACATTTCTGCTGAAAAGTCTTACTATCGTTCTAAAAATGGAATAGTTGCATACCCTAGGACTCCATTGAATCAACAAAAGCTAAGTGTTTCTAATACTAGTCCAGCAACTTCACCTCCATGCGAGAATTGCAATCAAAAGTTATTACAATCCATAAATAACAAAACTTATTACAACCCGTGAAAGTGTTCAAATCTTGAAGCTCATGATGTAGAAGACGGATGTAGAGGAGGCGGCTGATTTGTAGAAGTTTGAGCAGTAGATGAAACTAAATGTAAAACAAAGAAAAATATCATTACATTAAGCACTGAACATGAATATATCAACTTTAAAAAAAATGAAATTTCAACTTACTTGCTTGGATTTCTTCAAGTTGCTTATAAAATTCAAGCTCCTCGTCCGTTGGTTCTTTGTAGAAGCAAAATTCATCCGCTCTAAGCCAATCACAAGTACATACTAATGCCTCTACCATTTCAGGAGTCAATGAACTTCTAAAAGGATCCACAATCCTCTTACCCAGACTAAAAGCATTCTCACTAGTAACCGTAGAACTTGGAATTGAAAAGATTTCCTTGGCAATCTTTGAAAGGATTGGATATCTTGATTGATTCCCTTTCCACCAATCCACGAGTTTGAACCCTTTGTTCAAAGCGTTTTCAAAAGGATCGGCGAAGTATTTATCTACTTCATTGGATATGTCCGCAAGTTGTTCCTCCTTTATTTGTTGCAAAAGGTCCCTTACCAATTGTGATTGAGCATCATCACCATCAAGATCATCCTTGGCATCCTCATCTTGTAAATCAAACAATTGTAGACTCCCAATACTAGCAGACCCTTTATACTCATTATACAAAGTGAGCATACATTTTTTAACCTCGCTAACAACAAAGTCTATCTTAGTAGGCTCGGCTCCAAGATTTCGAAAGATGATCTTAAGCATTTGCAATTTATATCTAGGGTCCAGAACATGGGCTACAAAGACAAGCTTGTTTACAGTCTCAAAGCTCCCCCAAAACTTCTCAAATTTTAACTTTATTGAAAAAGCCACCCTTTGCAATTTAGGATCTCTACCATCCTTCATTTTCTTCTCAATCTCTACTTGTAACCCAACCATTTCGGTAAATACTAGATTGGATGTACACGTTTTGGTTGCACTAAGCTTAAGAGTTGTATCATAAAACTTCTTAAGAAAATGCACCAAGGCTTGTGCATTCTCCCAATCCTCCTCTACTGGAGGGCCCACTCTCTTCACAAGTCCTTCCTTTGCATCCTTCTCATACTCATTAAAATATGCCACAAAGGAAGCATTGTCATCTGCCATCCTACTAAACACGTTCTTGTACTTCAATGCACCATCAAGCATTTTATAAGTAGCATTCCACCTAGTAACATCATCCATGGGCACATTTGCCATCTTCTCATTTTTCTCTAAGAAGACAAAGTCCCTAAACTTGGCCAACCTTTCCGGGGATGAATGAATGTATTTCACACAATTCCTTATCCCCTCAATTGAGTTATAAAGCTCCTTCAACACATCCTTAACAATTAGATTAAGGATGTGACAAGCACACCTCATATGCAAGTACTTGCCATCAAGCATAATGGTGTTCTTTGACTTGAGGCTCTTTGCCATGTACTCAACCGCTTCATCATTTGCGGACGCATTATCAACTGTAATGCTGAAGACCTTGTCAATCCCCCAACTATTCAAACACGCCTCTAAGCACCTCCCTATGTCATCACCCTTGTGACTAGTGATCTTTGTGAAATTAATGATCCTTTTATGCAACTTCCAGTCATTGTCCATGAAATGGGCAGTGACTACCATGTAATTGATGTTTTGGATTGATGTCCAAGTATCGGTTGTGATACTTACCCTTTGATCACCTATCAAACTCATGATCTTAGCCTTCTCCACTAAGAACAAATCCCACACTCCCGCCGCAATCTCCTTCTTATTAGGTATTTTGAAACTAGGTTGAAGTTCAGTAATGAAGTCCCTGAACCCGGAGCCCTCAATCGCCCTAAAAGGCATCTCATCCTTAATGAGGAACATAACACACTTGAGTTCACTTCTCTTCTGGTTAAAAGTTCGGGGTACCAAACCACCACCCATGGTCTCAGAATTCAAGACTGATTGAGTTTCATCACCCCGTTGATAAAGAGGAGAGAGCTTGCATCTCCTTGCTAAGTGATTTTTTAAACCCGTTGTCCCGTTTTTCTTAGAATCAGCCGGCATTTCCTCTTTGCAGTAATTGCAAACCCCAATCACCTTTACCCCATGAGCATCTTTTTTTATCATTTTCTTGCAATGTAACCACACCACAGATTTTGAGGGTTTCCTCTTCTCTCCCACATTGACAGAATCTATTTGTTGGTCCTGAGGTTGTGTTTGGGGTTGAGCTTGGGTTTCGAGTTTAATAGGTGTACTAATTGAGGCATTTAGCGTATTGGATTGGCTAGCCTCCATCCTATCATAAACAAAGACACCAACCAAACAAACAAAGACTCCATAAATTCAATTATCACCAAACATTATTACCAATCAGCAGCTAACACATCATTATCAATCCAAAAATGAATCCTAACCAATCAGCCAGCTATAATTGTTTCACTAATTATTATCATATCATGCATACCATCATTATCAACATCATTATATAAAGAAATCTGTTAGACAGAATTCAGTATCAAACAAATTCAAATCATCATCAATTAATCAACATCATTATACAAAGAAATCTGTTAAAACAGATTTTATTATCAAACAAATTCAAATCATCAAAGTTCTCATCAATTCATCATCAATTTATTTGTCAATTCTCATCCATTCAAATCATCAATTCTCAATATATCAATTCGTCCTAATCATCATCATCATCATCATTTCTTGCCATCTTATTTCATCATCATAAAACAGATTTGATTATAGACTCAATTCAACATTATCATATATCAAATTGAAAACTTGGGTATATAAACCAAAATCGATTACACCACTGCCATTAAAAATAAAATTTGCCCAGATTCATAGAAGAGTAGAATTGCAAAAGTACAAAAGGCAAAACTCCTAGGCATTGCCTTGCCACATTGTTCACATTACAAATTGAGGCAGATTTTAAAAGAAATTTACCTCAACCCAGAACGGAAAACAGCAAAACCAAACAAATTGAGGCAGAGCACTGCAAAACCCACAAGAAATTGATCAGGTTCCGAATTCTATTTTACCTCAAATATCCAGAAAAAATGAACCCAATCAAAATTTATCAAATAACAACCAAGAATAGAACAGAGAAATAAGAATTTCAAAAACACTACCTGTGGGTGTTTGAGAGAGAAAAAGCGAGAGCGCGAGCAAGGGAGAGAGAGAAAGGAGTGGTCGCCGTAGCCGGTGGTTGGTGGTTGGAGGAAGATGGAACCGGAGCTGCTGTAGAGGGAGATGAAGGAAGTGAAGCGATGGTTAGGTTTGGACGGGACGGGTTGCGGAAATTTTTTTTGTTTTCATTTTCATTTCGGGGCTCTCCCCCAATAACATTTTCGGGCTTGACAATTTGAGCGCCAAGATTTCCCACAATTATCCGTGACGCTCTAAAAATATATACAATGTGACGAATAAATATGTGACGACTTGCATTATACAGCCGATGTTTGGACAATATAAGAAATATATTTTTGTCTTCCGGGAGCATAGCCAAGTTCATTCCAATTTCTTGCTTCGTTCAAATTAAAAACTTTTAATTATTAATTCATTTACAACCATAATGAAAGAGAGAACAACCAATAATAAGTGGCTAACATTATCAATATTAATACTAATGATGATGATATAACTTTTTAAAATTTGTTTTTATACAAGCGATAATTTTAAGTTTCTAGGGAAAGGGGATCGAACTCAAATGCAAGACTACCAACTGCCTTCAAAAGACGGAAAAGCATTAAAAGAATGGAAAATTCAGACAAGACCATGCCCGTAACCAAAGTTATAGGCACTGCTAGGGATCATAGAACCAGCAGGTCCAATTTGATTGCAGGTTTGCTTTCAAACAGAGGATCATCACTTTGATTAGTGATTACCATTCATCTAAAGAATGGTACTGAGAATTGATAGCAGCACAAGACTGGATCATCGAAATCTTGTTCACTTGTTTAATCACATTCTTCTTGAGCTCCTTCATTGCAGCCTTCATCATCTCTAGCTCATGCAATCCCATTTCATCAATTGGGTTTTCCCACCAACACCGTCTCGATGATCCCTGGCCGGCTTTGCTCATCTCGTCAAGTTCTTGTCCTCGCTTTTTCTCAGCCTCCAAATGGTTTTGAGTCTGAGTGAACACCATATTAAGCTCATGAGCACTACTGCCACTCATGTAGTCCTGAGCCTGTTGAGAAGTGAAATCGGAGTCTATGGAAGATTTTGGAGTGCCAAGAAAGCGGTCAAGGACGGACTCAACATGAGGGTGGCCAAAGGAGAAGGGTTTATTGGCAGGAGAGAAGACCACTATTGCAATCTCAACACCACAAAGGGTGCAGAGCTCACTAGCCTTCTTGAAGAGCCCTGAACGACGTTTACAGAATGTGACTTGTAAATTACTACTCTTGGCTATTTTGGCAATTGGAATCTTTTGGCGTCCCTGGCTTGGTTTCTTCTTCATCATAACCATAGCAGAAATTGGAAGGATATGTATTTTAATATGAAAGAGCCAGGCAGAGACTCAATGCAAGCTTGTTGAGATTGGGATGGCTGGAGGGGGATCTAAAAACGTGTATTTATATAGGGTTGTATAGTTCTTTGTCTTTCCCGTTAGAATTAATTAATAGCACTTATGCTGGGCGTATTATTGTCCAATGGGGGTCTTAATGCTCTGTTACCCTGCATGATTAACACAAATCTTTTGGAAGTTATGAGTTTTTTTCAGTTAAAATATATGCAATTACTATGGAACTAATAAGCAATTGATGATTTTACCAGAAAAATAAATAAATAAGCAATTGATGATTTACATAAAATACACAATTATATGACTAAACCTTGGAAGTCAATGAGTACCACGGTTTACTTTGATTACAGGAAACAAGAAAAGGAATTGGCTAAATTCTCTACTTTGAGAACCATACGTTTAGACTATCGCTTGTATTTAAAATGTTAAACTATGCAGAGCTACTGGATCCTAAGAGCATATGGAGGCTCAATATCACCAAAAAGACATTGTCAATGATTTTACAAGATAGCAACCAAGACTTGGTGAAAATACGAAATCTAGGAAAGAGAAGCAACAATGCCAAGGCAGCAGAGAATTTTTTAAATAATCTGGTATTTTAATTAAAAACTACTGTCAGTGTCACATAGATAAGGGGTTTAACAAATCAATAAACATTTGACCCTTCAATACCAACAGATTTTGTAATCTTCCTAAACCAGTTCACTATAAGTCAGAACACTTGAACACGAAAGATATGAAACAAGGGTTCTGGTGAAAGTACCAAGGTAGATTGCTCAATTAAATCCAGTACATCATACACTACCGTTGAACTTCATGATGAAACTTAAATAAGGGTGAAGAAAGAATATCATGAAAACAAAAACTCTCTTCTTTCACAGCTCCATACATCGAGTGTCCGCTAGTAACATTTTGCTGCAGACAAAATCTTTGTGTAAACTACACACTACTCCAAAACTAACTAGGATTTGATCGCCTGAGCTAGAGGTCTCCAGAGTCCCAATCTATACTTGTGGGTGTATTTCAAGATCAGCTTCCTCTGCAAAAAGAGAAATCCAATATCAAATTTCTAAACCACCAAGAAAACAACATTAAAATCCTCAGAATTATATTTCTTTCGTTTTTTAAGAAATAAAATGAAGAAACAAAGTTATTATTTCCATCCGTTCATCAGCAATGCATAAAGGAAGGATTACTTAGACGGATCCAAAGTAAACATGAAACAATAAAGCTGATTCCAAGGCTTTAGTTATACATTCCTAAATTGCAAGAATTAATGTTAGAAACAGAAACTTTAATATGTTAATCTCCGGTGGGTGTGTGTGTCTGCAAAGTAATTGATCAACTCAGAGATTGATTACATGTTTGCAAGGGACGCCAAGTTTCTTCAACTTGAGAGTACGAGTGACAAGCAGCTTTTGGAAGTCACCAATCTCAGCTTCAAGCTTGGCCACATGGGATTCCACTCCATTGCCAATTCCATTCAAAAACTCTGGTATTCCAACTTTGACTGCAAGAAAAACAACAACACAACCCCAATTTGAAGGTTTTCCATTGAATTAAACCCAATTTTCGAAAATCTATCTCCTAAATTTCTAATAAAACGTCAAGAAAAGTTTGTTATTCTGACACTTGGACTGCGCATTTAAGCCTACAACATATAACTATAGGCTAAGCTTTACACAAAAATATTCACTTTCCATGCCCTTCAACATTCTCAGTCTCTTAGCACAAATTTTTTTAATTGAAAAGAAAAGGAACAAAACAGAACCCAAGTGTGATGTTCAGTGGTAGATAAAAATTACTCATTAAATCAACAGTTAAATAAACAAGAAACATGACCTTACAAAACCCAAGATTTCACCTGCCTCCCTTTTGTATCCCCAACTTTTTCAGCAACTGAGTGGTGAGCCAACAGAAGCATAACAACACTTCTTGGGCCATTCTTCTTTATTGTTTTTGGTGAAGTGACCAACAAAGTTTCTCATTTCTATCGAAACCTAAATATAGGGCATTAACAAAACCCAAACTTTATGTTCCCATTTCTTTCATCTTCTTTCATTTTTTTAAGCAACCAAACAAAACCTCCAATGCCACATAGCTACTTAACCAAATAAAAAGTGTATCTTCTAATTTTGAAGGAAAGGAAATCACAAATTCATGAAACCCAGAAATCTTATTTTCTATCATTTTCTTGGGAACCAAAGACAAATGGAAGGTTCAATAATTGCGTATTAAAGCCTAAAATCAAAATCTTTACTTACCTAGGTATGGGTTTGATTTTGTGGAGAATCTGGCGGATCCGGTTGCTAAATTTGGTCCCAAAATTGCTCTTGAGTTGAATAGCATTTGCCTCCATGCCATCTTCTGTTGAATAGAATTGTTCAAATTAACGTGTATAAACAAACGCATGTGTACATACATATCTAGAAGAATTGAACACACACACAACACTGAATTCAGCTCCCCGAAGTGTAAATCTAGCCTACTCAAATCCAAAACCTTGCAAACTAGGAAGACAGTAAATCAAGGACCCGATTTGGTACAAAATATTGAAGAGATTGTCAATTTACTTTGATAGGTGCATGGTATTACTTTGGCCTTCTCTCACATTCCATATTCAATACACGGTGACATCGTTAAAATTTTAGACAAGTTACGTTGACCGGGCAGGAATGAAGTGTCTTAAATTATTAAATACTTTGGTTGATTTTTTGAATTGGCGTTAAGTTGACAATACACATATTTTGTTTTAGTGAGATTGAAGTTATAACTTTGAGTGGGATAATTGTATTGGAATTTCACTTGGATATTCAAGAGCATGCCTAGTTAATTTCAACTGCATATCTGAGTAAAAGATTACCAAAAAAATTGGTGGCCCATTTCTATCATCCACGTGGCAACTGAAACCATGCTCTCGCTGTCATGTACGGGGCAAAAACTGAAATCTAAGCAGAGATTTATGACTGGAAAAAGTACTCAGTGAGTGCATAAATTTTCAGCCTCTTACTGAGAACTTTTTTCTAAGTGCTTAAAGTTTTAGAAAGTATCAAATACAACATTGCTACATGTTGCTTCTTCATTATACTTGCAGTCAGAGCTACAACAATGAATGTGATTAAGGAACATAAGCTTTTGGATTAAAGGTTTTAACATCAGGGCTCAGAATTTTTGTCAACCAACAAAAAAAGAACTTAGGTACCTTGAACCCCTAATCGAGTTCATCTCGAATTTGATTGGAATGGTTAATTTGCCAACTCAAACTCAGAACAATAAAAATTAATAAAATCAAACTAAGTTCAAGATGTGTATCTCAGTTCCTGTTATCATCAAATTGCGAGACTTTTTTTTAATCAATCATGTTTCCTTATCTACTTTTTTTTCATCATTTTTACAAAGAAGCCTTAGCCCTATACCATGAAAATATATAGAGCAAGGAATCATCCTAAACCATAAGTATACATTCGCCCATCATGAAAATGCCCCCAAATCCTTAAAATGATGCAAGATAGAAAATGCAGGAAAGAAAAAGTTCTACACATAAAACCCTAACTTAATATTAAAATTTAAACAGAAAGGAGAATTAAATGGAAAAGGAAGGTATTTGAGTAGAGAGAGAATGGTACCTGTAAGTCGGAGAGAGAGAGAGTAGAGATCAGCTTTTGTTTGATAGAAAGAAGAACAAGCTGCAGTGGACAGAGGAGGAGAAAACCCAAAACGCAAATTTTCAGTTTGAAGAACGCGAAAGGAGAAGAGTGAGGTGGAGGGTAAAAATGTCATTTTAGAAAAATGAGGGTAATATTGGTATCTTGAAAACTTCGATTAAATCCACAACTGAAACCCTAAACCCTAAACGCTCGCGCCTTTGCAGTCGGAGAGAGAGAGAGAGAGAGAAGCAGCATCAACTATTCCCCCTCGGTAAGGCATTTTGATTTTGCATTTGTACGGTTATTCGTTTGGGAATTTTGATTTCAATTTTGCAAATTTATAATTTCTGAAGTAGTT